CTTTTTGCAAATTGCTTAAAATATAGAGAACCAAATTCCAATATCCCTTCACTTTCAATACAAATAATCTTATAGACCTTTAGGTTTCTCAATTGTTTCTAAATATCTTAATGTAATGCATTGGAACTAATTTCATTCCACAGTTAAATTTGAATTTTTAAATCACTAAATTCTTTTAAAATCCTCTCACTTGAGCACAGGGCACAGGTATGGATAGATAATTGATGTGGTAAGAATCAGAATTATTCAGAAGGCTCTAAATGGATGCTTACCTAGTTTTCTCTCTTTTGGGACATAGAATATCTCCCCAGGTTTTCTGCATATAAACACTCCATCAACATTTTATTAAAGGATTATTCAAGATTAGCTATATGTTGATTGATAATAACTAAGCATGATAGAAATGTAAGGGAAAACTATCTACATTTCAGTGAGGTTCTGACATGTGCTTCCCAAAGAGTCATGAAAGCTCTCAATGAGAAATCTAGCAGCTGCCTATCTAAAAAGTCCTTGTGTGGTTCCACTTTCCGCTAATATCTCAATTCAAGTACTTCTTCTTGGAGTTCCATACTATTCAATGATGCTGTGTTAGATCATTGTTGCATTTTGCAGACAGCTCTTGGTGATGAAATTTGTGCTTTTCAAAATTACTCTCGCAATTCCATCCACAAAATGCAGACAAAATTATCTAGAAAAAATGTATCTGTTGATAGTGCATATCCTTTAATTTTTCATTACAAAAATAGATGGTAGTAAAAATTTTCATAGGAATTACACTGCAATAGGTTGTGGGCAGATTCTAATGTAAATATTACACTATGTTCATTTAGAGATATTGAGTATCCAAAGTTTTGATATGCCTATGGCCCTAAAACCAATACCTTACTGATATTGTGTGACAAATGAAATTTCCTATAAGTACAGAAGTTTTCCTTGTTTCTTTTTAATAAAAGTTTTTATTGTAAAGATACTGTACAGAGCGGTTACAGTTACATAAGTAACGTAATGATTATATTTCTTATTGAGCATAGTTATTCCCTCCTTTGTTTTTCCCCTACCATCCCTTCCATTCACACCTCCCCAACTCTTCCCTCCACACCCCCTCTGATAGTATCTTGTACATCTCAATATTACAATGGGTCAAGCTGTATTCTTTCCTTCTATGTTAAATGAAGAAATGCTGGGTTTATTTATGCTGATTCTACTTGTGTAGACACATCTAAAATCACTCTCCAAGTCCAAGAGAACATAAATAAAACACACATCATTTTTTCTCAGTGGGTATAATTGGGTTCTACACATTTATTTACAGGTTACAAGTTATTCTCAAACGTTAATACATTAAAAATACTTACTTTATTTTCCTATTTTCTTGGTCAGGAAATTAGCAAGACCTCACTCAGCAATTCTCACATAGGACTTTTCACATGGGTTTATTAAAGTATGACCTGAGATCCAGTTTTCTGAGAACTCACTCTTTGCTTAGGAATTGATGATGGCTGTTGGAAAAGAGCTCAAGGAAAGATTCCATTTAAAGCCTTATAACTTTATTCTTCTTTTTTTCTTTCTTTCTTTTTTTGTTTTTTTGGCGATCGTGGGCCTGGAACTCTGGGCTTGCGTGCTGTCCCTGTGCTCTTCAGCTCAAGGCGAGTGCTCTCCCACATGAGCCACAGTGCCACTTCCGGGTTTCTAGTTGTTTGTTGGAGATAAGAGTCTCACGGACTTTCCTGCCCAGGCTGGGTTTGAAGCACAATCCTCAGATATCAGCTTCCTGAGTAGGTAGGATTATGGGCATGAACCATCAAAACCTGGCTCTTTTTTCCTATATTTTTGTGAATTGTAATACTTCTAAATTTATATTAACTTCAGCCACTTTATACTTTTCAAAGTCATGAAATATCTCCCAGAGTTTGCTTCTCTGAAGATTGTTTTGCATTTATAATTTCTTGAGTCATTTTTATTTTGTATCAAAATCTTTTTATATTTTATGTTGATGGGTTATTGTACATCAAATATCTTCAAATCCATATGGAAAGTCTAAGGATAGAAGTACGAATATTCCCATACAGCTCTTATTTATCTGTTATACACTTTCAGTATTATAATATTTTTCTCTTTCTCTCTCTCTCATCCTCTCTTTTTCTTTCAGGCTCCATGTCTGCTACTTAGAATTTCCACTGGTCTACTAGTATCCTTCAGGTTCCACTGGTTTTTTGGGAACATGATAGGGACCATCAGTGACCCTTCCATTCTTTAAGAGTTATAACAATGACATGATATTATTCTCTGTCATTCCAAATGGTAAAACAACAGAACTAGGAATTCCTTTTCAATTTTATTATTATTACAAATTTTATCTCATAGGAATCATTGGGATGGATAAGATACGTTTAACCGGTAACCTAAAATTTCTATTTTGTTTACAAGCAACCTTTTTATTTTATTATCAGTAAGTAACTACATGTAATGAAAACAAAGTTATCCTATGGAAGGTAGACCGAAGTGGGTCACATGGATGAAAACCAAGGTAATGGGGAAAGTGAGTACAAAGGATACACATCAGATAGCACAGATCCTCAGAGCAGGTTATCATATACACTGTGTTAGAATGACAATATGCTGGGAATTATAGATTGTCATTGAAAACCTGATATAAATATATATATATGCACATATATTTTATATGTATATTTATTTGTATATGCATATATATGTGTATATGCCTTTATATATGTGCACATGTGTGTTACTATACACACAAACACACATATACATGTACCCAAGTATACATCCACACATGGAGAAAGAAACATAGTTATAGCCAACAAAAGTTTCACATGTCATTGAACATGCCTTAAATGGAATGCTTTTAACAAACTATGTTGAAGATGTATTTGTCTCCAAGAGGTCTTTCACCACTTTTCTTATCTCTTAAAGGGTTTTAAGAGATATGATTCGACTTGCAAAACACAGTACAAGTCATAGCAAGTCACTTAGAAATCTCTGTAAGTAAAGGTCAGATGGTGTTTCCCTGCTCCCTACGGAATGCTTGCTCTTATAGACACTCTAAACAACCAAAGTAGCAAGAGAATGCCCTGGTAAAGAATAATATTAAGCAGGGTGCTAATGGCTCACGCCTGTCATCCTAGCTACTCAAGAGGCTGAGATCTGAGGATCACAGTTCAAAGCCTGCCTGGGCAGGAAAGTCCATGAGACTCTTATCTCCAACAATCAACTAGTAACCCGGAAGTGGCACTGTGGCTCATGTGGGAGAGCACTCGCCTTGAGCTGAAGAGCTCAAGGACAGCACCCAAGCCTAGAGTACAAGCCTCATATATGGCATTCATATATTTCATTATATAACCCAAAGCAGAAAGCAAATGTTTAGATGATTTTTAAAAACAGTCTCTCAGGAGCTGGGAAGGTGGCTCAGTAGTAGAGTGCTTATTTTTCATGCATGAGGCCTTGGGTTTGATTCCTCAGCACCACATAAGCAGAAAAAGATGGAAGTGGTGCTGTGGCTCAAGTGATAGCGCTAACCTTGAGCTGAGGGACAGCGCCTAGGCCTCAGATTTCAAACCCCATGACCAACAAAATAAAAATAAAACAATACAAAACAGAGTCTCACAATTTTGTGACCTCAAATCTGCAATAACTCTGCTTCAGCCTAGGGCTAAGATTTTAGGTGTGGACAATTATCAACATTCCTGATTCAGACTCTACTTGATAAAATTTTAAATCAACATTTTTTGCTTAATTTTGCTCTTTGTAAATACACATGTACCTGTAAATAATGGTGTGGCCATCCAGGTAACCTTCTCAAAGTACCTCCTAATAATGATTACAAAAATTTGTATTATATTACAACAAGGAAAACAATACTACAAATAAAGAAAACCAATAATTAATTATTAATGATTAACAAAATACAAAACATTGGGCTGGGAATGTGACTCAGTGGTAGAGTGCTTGCCTTGACTGCATGAGGCCCTGGGTTTGATTCCTCAGCACCACATAAACAAAAAGAAAAAAGCCAGAAGTAGCACTATGTCTCAAATGGTAGAGCACTATCATTGAGCTGAAGAGCTGAGGGACAGCGCCCAAGCCCAGAGTTCAGGCCTCATGACCACACACACACACAAAAAATACAAAACAATACAATTACCAGTGTTTCCAGAATTTGAAGTATACTACCTATTAGATTTTACTATTTTCTCAATTCTTGTTCATTTAAAACTGGCTAAGATTATAATGTTCAACAAGAGTTTTATAGCCTACAAGTAGTCTTTAAAGTTAGCCACTAAGATTACAATTTATGGTTCATCTCATCATTTATATATGGCATATATCATCATTTGTTCCTCAGTAACATATAAAGTAAGGAAGCCCTAAAATTTTAACAGAAACTGTGTAGTTAAAAAAGTCTTAACTCTTCACTCTGCTGCTTTACATAAAGCATTTGCTTCTCATTAGTAAAGTTTCTATAAACTATGAAATGAACATACTTAGTAGTATATGTCTGCTACCATAAACCTAAAATACTTTATAGAAAAGTTTTATGACCTGCCAAACAATCCTAATTTTGGCATATATGAGCAATTTCCCAAAATTATATGTATTTAAAACATTAAAACTTTTAACAAACCTTAACACTTGCTGCAGTGCTCATTATGACAGGTACCTTGTATAGAATAATTGAATTTTTCCTCCTACACATCTCTTGAACAACCAACATCTGAAATTATTTTGTTTTTGACGTGTCAATCTTGACATTATTCTTTGTGTGTTTGTGTGTGTATGTGTGTGTGAAAATCCCTTACAGAGGGGTTACAATTACATGGGCAAGATAATGAGTATATTTCTTATCAAGAATTGTTGCCTCTTTCTTTGTTTACCCTTCCCATCCCTTCCCATTTCCCCCCACCCCCATCCAATCCTCTATCCGCCCCCCCCCCAGTTTAATAAAATAAATTACACTTTCTATATAAAAAGTGTTCTCTGCCCAATCCCTCAGCCTATACACTAACACTGGACATATACTGAGAAGATTAGCATGGGCCCTGCCCAAAGATGACACACAAATTCATGAAGCATTCCACATATTTACAACAACAGATGCTGGAAGGGATGTAGCCACAAGGGAACCCTACTGCATTCTTGGTGGGACTGTAAACTTCTTTAACCACTTTGGAAAGCAGTATGGAGTTTCCTCAAAAGACTCCACAGAAAGCTCCCCTATGACCCAGCAATCCCACTTTTGGGCATTTACTCAAATGATCACAAACAAGACCATACTAAAACTAGCAGCACAACTAAGTTTATTGCAGCATTATTTTCTATAGCTAAGACACAGAACCAACCTCGATGCCCCTCAGTAAATGAATGGATCAAGAAAACGTGATAAATATATAAATTGGCATTATATGCCTCCCTCAGAAAAAATGGCATCTCCAAATTTGTTAGGAAATGGAAAGACTTGGAAAAAATTTATTTATTTATTTATTTTGGTCCGGTCGTGGGGTCTGAACTCTGAGCCTGGGCGCTGTCCCTCAGCTCTTCAGCTCAAGGCTAGCGCTCTACCACTTGAGCCACAGCACCACTTCCGGCTTTTTTCTTTGTGCTTATGTGGTGCTGAGGGATCGAACCCAGGGCCTCAGGCATGCAAGGCAAGCGCTCTACCCCTGAGCCGCCTTCCCAGCCCTGGAAAAAATTTATTAAGTGAAGTAAGCCAAGTCCAACGAAACATACGTTCCATGGTTTCCCTTATCTTCAATAACTAATATATGTCTAGGATTATCAGAAAATATCAAAAGCTATGTGCATTTGACCAGGTAACTTAATGTTAAGCTAAATGAACCCTAAGATAGGGACACAACTGGTTTTTTTCTATCTTGCTATTATTTCTAACATACTTATACTATATGATTTGAATTTTTTTGTTTCTTTTTATGCTCCTCCTCCATGCTATAACCCCTGATTTCACTGTATTTGAAGTTGGTGAGTCTATATCTTGTATATACATTTCTCTAATTTGGGGAGGGGAAGGAAAAAACGAAATGCTTAAATAAGGATACGGGTGACCCATTGTAACAATGAGATGCACAAGACACTATGATAAAAAAAATGAATTTTACAATTTATGAGGTGGGGGGAGAAGGGGAGGAGAATGTACTTGTGGAGGTGAGATGGTAGGGATCGTGGGAGAAAAATAAGGGAGGAGGTAACAATGCTTTTTAGGAAATGTACTTATTACCTTGCTCATGTAAATGGAACACTTCTGTACAGTATTTTTAAAATAAAAACCATATAAAAATGTTCTGAGATGCAAGAATTTACTTCCCCTATTTTACCCATATAATATAGAGAACAAATAATTTAATGAAAAACACTGACATGAAAGTATTTTGAATAAATGTGTGTGTGTGTGTTCACGCGCACATGTGTGTTGGAGTGCTCAGAATTTGAACTCAGGGCTTCAAGGTCTTGCTTGGCCTTTCCTCTCTAGATTGGTGAGCTACTGTAAGAGCTATATCTCCATTCTTGGACCTTTGCTAGTTCATTAAAATTTTTGAAAAATAATCTCAAGAATTTTTTTTTGCCCTGATTGACTTCCAACAGCTATCCCCAGATCTCAGCCTCCTGAGTAGATATCCCCAGTAGACAAGGTTACAGGTGTCACCAACCAGCACAACGCTTTCAGAATAAAGTAGGAGAAAATTTATTTCACTGGGGCCTGTTTTATCATCTCCTAATTTTAAAGCATTTTGCAGTGATTATATGTGAATTTATTCCTTTTTTGGATTCTGAAAAGACAATAAGTGATGATATTTAAAAGTTTTGGTACTTTTTTAAAAGAAAAATGGAAATGAGGGACAGAAGAAATTTGGCTCTCTTTGGACCTCAATTTATAAGCTCAGTTCTGTGCATAACCCAATGTCACCAACACAGTCTGTGTTGAAGACAAATTGTGACAGAAAACAATCACCATGGGCAATAATTGCTATGCTATTATATGTTGGACAATATGAATGTTGAATTTAGGGTGTAAGAGAATAGAGAGATTTTACCTACCTTTTTTCTATTGCTGAAAGATTTTGACATTTGACTCATTTCCTTCTTCACTGTGTGTCTTTGGGCCATACACTTAGTGCCTTTAATTACGAATTTTTCCAACACTAAAATGCTAATAACATTAGCATTATAGAAAATGTTATCTTAACAATTAAGAGAAATAAAAAAATTGTGAAAAAGTAACATAAACTTCTATGAATGAGCTTTGAGTATAGCCAGGAGGTTTTTAAAATACTAAATAGAATGTGATACGTATTACCGAAACCATTATATGCAGTGAACAACCAGAAGTACTGTTATCTATGGATCATGCTCTGCTTCCAAGGAAGCCATGTGGATAACTTCTCATGCTGTAAATCAAACTGGTTATCTTATGTCTTGATAGTGTAAAAATATCAGGGACATTATAAAGAAGGAATGTTGTAGACTGAGGTCTACATATACATAAGAAAATATACAAAACTGATAAAACATAAAATTATCTGAGCACTATATTGTGTTTTACATAATTTAAGATACACCACAAAGATAGGGAAGACCTCGAATAATGAATTCTCTTTTTGATATCATACCATAGGTCCTTAGAAGAATGAACTCTTTCCTCATTCTTGTAGAGGCATCATCAGATGAGAGGAACTCTCTATATTTTTTTGTTTACTCCCTTCCATTTATTCTTAAGTTTGAAATCTGAATGATATGAGACTGAAAGAGACTACATGAAACTGATATTGAACACTGATATTAAATAGGCTTTGCAAAGAGCAATCAATGTAAAGTAAATAAAATACATATAGCTCTGTAAAAGTTCTAACTAAATTGAGTTATATAGTCTCCAGCATAAACAGTAAATGATTTAAGAAATATGCTATTGAAAATTGAAAAATAATAGGAGTTGTTTTATTTTTTCCTTTTTACAACATGGAATTAACTATTGATTTTTGTATATAGAGATTAAAGATGAGATTTACAAGAAATTTGATTTAAAATGGACAAAAGTGCTGAATAGACATGTTTTCCAGAAAGCCCTGGAAATCATCAGTGGGTTTACAAACTTGTGTTTAGTACCATTTCTATGCTGGCTTAATGCTTTGTGAACAGAAGTTATTAGAGAAATGCAATTCAAAATTGCTATGATTCTACTTCATAACTATTGTAACTCTTATCAAAAAAATCAAAGGAACCAGGTATGATAGTAAAGGTTTGTAATTCCAAGCATTTAGGAGGTTGGAGTAAGAGGATTTGAGTCTAAGGCCAGTCTGGGATACTGCACATAGTAAAAACCTGCCCTTTTAAAAACTTAAAAGGAAGTAATGTTGGTGAGAGTGTGGAGAAAAGGAAATTTTCTACACTCTTGGTCAAAATACAGTATTCTTATTGTAGAAAGTAGTATCCAGTTTTCTAAAGAAATCCAAAGTTGAAATATCATCAGACCCACCAATCATATGATTATTTCTCTCTGGGTAACTCATAAATGTATCTGTATTCACATTGTTCACAACATACAAGTTATAAATAGAATTAAGTGTTCAACTACAAACTAATAGAGCAACTGTGTGCATGCAAAAATATAGTTTTCTGTTGCATCCTTAAAATAGCAAGAGACTTCTTCCATTAGCCACAACTTACAATGACCTGAAAGATGTATTCTAATTTTTTTTCTTTCTTTTCCACTCCCCGAAAGATGTATTCTAAATGAAGAAAAATGTTGCCTTCTGATATTTGTAAAACCACACACACACACACACACACACACACACACACAGACACACACACACACACACCAACCTCAAACATTAAGAGAGAATTTTTTTAAAGTAAAGCAAAGTGGAATTGCTGGGGCATTTAGGTAACAATGTAGAAGGTAGTAGATATACAGGATGACCAGCATACAGGGGACATTAGCCCTACATAGAAATGAAGATAATTAAGTAGGAGTTGTTCTTCCTAGTAGGGGTTGCTCTTTTAGGTGTTCTTCTTTCACTAATGGATGAGATGAACATAATTCTTTAAATATACCTGCCTGTTTGCAGAAACAATAACAAACTATAGCGATAATGTATGCTCAACATAGAACAAAATGTCAAACTAAAATACATGAGATTATCCTTGATATAAACTAATAATTACAAATAAGGGAAACCATGGGACATATGTTTCTTTAAGTCTGGCTTACTTCACTTATATGAGATTTTTTCCAAGATCTTCCATTTCCTTACAAATGAGGTGGTAATGAGGTGGTATCATTCTTTCTGATGGAAGCATTGCATTCCGTGTGTGTGTGTGTGTGTGTGTGTGTGTGACATTTTCTTGATCCATTTATCTACTGAGAGGCATGTGGGTTGATTCCATATCTTAGCTATGGAAAATAATACTGTGATAAACATAATTGTCCTGGGAGCTTTAGTGTGGCCTTGTTTGTGGTCACTTGGGTAACTTCCCAGAAGTGGGATTACTGGGTAAAAGGGGAGCATTATTATGTTCCTCAAGGATAATCTTAGTAGATGAGCACAATAGCTCAATAGCTATGCACATTTGACCTAACAAGGTGATTCCATGTGAAATGAACTCTAAGACATGTTCTTAGTTGTTTTTGTTCTTAATATACTATGTTATTTCTTTTTAACTTTTTGTATTTCCCCCACCTACGGTTTATCCCCTGTAGTCACTGTATTTGATTTTGATATCCTGGGAATTGTAAATATGTTGATCTGAACTAGGCAAGGGAAAGGGAAAAAACAAAATGGTGAGAAAAAGGACAAAGGGGGAACCTATGCAACAGTCATACTCACAATACAATATGTTGGAAATAACTTTGGGGGCGGCCTTTGGGAGGGGAAAGGGAGGAAAATGGGGGAAGGTGTAACAAGTTAATAAAGAAATGAGTTCATTTCCTTACTTATGTAAATATAACCCTCTGTACATTACCTTGACAATAAAATTTGTATAAAAATAAAATCAAATACATGAGAACAGCAATACAGGAGATGGGAGTGAGGGAAATACTATACCATACAAAGAAGAATAGAAGAGCTGT